GTATAAGACGACCCCCCACTTGGAGGCATATTTTTCAGGGCCAAAAAATCGTCTTATACGCCGGCAAATACGGTATGTAAAATATAGGACCATTTACAAAGCACAGAAGAATACTATAATTTATGGACATCTATTAGCATAATAGACGTTTGAAGGCAGAGTGGGGAAGGTTCTCCATCAACTTGAAAATCTTCTGGGAAGGAATGGGGTAGGTACCATATACGGTAGGCATCAGATGCATTTTTTACAGTTGCCATCTTAAAAAAGAGCTAAAGCACAAATGGTTAGATATTAACATTTGTTAACTCTGTGTATGGGTATCTGGATGTTTGTGATATTTATTTTATTATTTTCCACAAGTTTCAATATGTTTGACCTGTTGAAACGAAAGGAAGACATCTCAGAAAAGGCCTCCATTGCATTGGTGCAGTAAAGGGTTTTTGGTAGCTTCTCATTTTGATAATCATAGTTAACATTTATTGGTTGCTTTCTGTGTTTCACGTACTCTTGTAAGTGCTTTCTATGCATTAACTCACTTATTCCTCATAACCATGAAGTAGGTACAATTATCATCCTCATTTTGCAGATGAGGAAATTGAAATACAGGTGTAGGTACTGTGTCATTAGATGGGATTGGCAGTAAGGACGGAGTTTAGGGCAAAGGCAGGATGAAAGAGGGCTGCTGTTTTAGGGACAAAAATATTTTTTACATTTTATATCTTAAAAAAGATATAAAGCACAAATGACTATATGTTGATATTTGTGATCTCTGGATGTAGGTATTTGAGGCTTTACCATTTCCAGCAAATTTAAATGTTTGAACTATTAAAAAATAAAGAGAAGGATGACATCTGAGAAAAGATATGCAGAGGACAAGCCTTGAGTGTGAGGTGGTAAGAAGATAGAAGATGCAAATAAGGAAATGATTGAGGGGTTACATCTCAGAAGGGTGAAGAGACAGGTAGGAAGTTAGCCTTTATAGTAGTCAAAGATAAAAGAAAAGCTAAGTCAAACAGTTATGAGGTGAGGTGAAAAGCTGGTTAAAGAGGAAATTGAGGGACTGTCGGTAGGATTGAAGCTTAAGGAGAATAGAAAAGATACCATGAGTTGTTGGGGAATTGAATGAGCTATCAGCTTAATGAGTAAGGAACATGGGTACATGTTTCTTAACTGGCAACAGTGAAATAAATAGGTTTGGTAGTTACTATGAACTTGACATCGACTCAGTTCACAGACTTCTTACTTGCTACAATGTTGCTTGCCAGCAGGTGGCGGGAGATACTGCTTTTTTTTTTTTTTTNTATGTGGGATCCCAACCGAGGCCCGCTGGCGTCCCAAGCCAGCTCTTAACCAACGTGCCACTCAGCCGGCCCTGTTTCTGTCTTTTATAAATGAGAACTTCTCCTTTGGAAAAGTTTCACTGCCTTCACACAGTTTGAAGTGAGGATTTGTTCTTTTTTTTTTTAGCTGAGCATCCTGCCACCTGTTGGCAACTCAGCGGCTGCTCAGCTTGGGCCGGGACTCGAACTGCTGTTGCACAGAGCTCAAACTCTTGAGCGAGCTCTTAACCAACTGGCCACTCAGCTGGCCCTATTTGTTTTTTAAAGATTGACTCTAGCTTTGTATATTTGCATATCTTAGACATAATTATGCAAATGAGGGATTTGTCATAATTGTATTAATTGTTCTTCTTTAGACAGAATTTTCTATTAAATATTTGTTTATTTGCAGGTATATTTGCTTACTTAAACTACCATGTCCCTCGCACAAGACGGGAAATCTTGGAGACCCTAATCAAAGGCCTTCAGAGACTGGAGTACAGAGGATATGACTCTGCTGGTATTTCCTTTTACAAAAATAGTAATGGGTTTTGCATGATTCTTGAACATAAATGGAGAGGGTTTTTGTTTGTTTGTTTGTTTGTTTTAGGTGACTGGATTCCTTAGTAATGTCTGTTTTGTTTTGGGTAAATCTAAAATCTGAAGAATTTTTGCCTTTTTAAAGTGCTTGTTTATGTAATTTCAACAGTATTACCATTTATGTTTATGTACAGTATTGCTTCTTATAGGTATCTTCTTTTGTTAAGAATGTTATTGTAAAAACAAATCATCTAGGGCATTTTCATGGTTGGTAGAACAAAGTTCTTACAGGCCTTACTCTATAAATTATCTTTTTTCTTTTGTGAAACTTGAATATGTTTTTTCTCCATGGATTCCAGGCTTTTGGCATATAAACTTGCCTGAGTCTGTGACCTTAAATAAATGGCAAAGCAAATAAAAATAACTTTTTGTCAACTTTATGTTCTACTCTGGCTCCTTCCCTTAGCTGTATTGGGGTTCCCCAAGACCACCCTCAGATTTGATGATTTCCTAGAAGGATTCAGCATATAGTTGTACTCATGACTTTGATTTATTACAACAGAATGCAAATACAAAGCAATATTAGCGAAGGGAAAAGGCACATGGAGTGAAGTCTGGAAGAGACCAGGCAGTACCTTCTCAGAGTCCTCTCCTGTTGGGGTCACACAGGATGTGCTTAATTCCCCCAGCAAGTTGTGACAACATGTGTGAAATGTTGTCTCCCTGGGAAGCTCATTAGCAACTCAGTGCCCAAGGTTTTCACTGGGGACTGGTCATGTAGACACCCTCTAGTAGACAGCCTGTACCAAAATTTCAGACTCCTAGAAAGGAAGCGGATGTTCAGCATAAGCCACATTGTTAAACCAACAAGTTTAGATGCTGTGAGCTATTCTTAGTCAGCTAGGGTGGTGGGAACCCTCCTGAAATCCAAGTTCCCAGATACCAGCCAAGGGCCAACTATGCAAGCAGGCATTTCCAAGGATAGCAGTTCAGACCTACTGTGTTAAGTAACTCTTTTCTGTACACTTAACATTGCCAGTTGTAATGGACATTTCTCTTCCATGACTTTTCCTCAGTTAATGGAAAGTCAATTCGTCAACTCCTTTGTTCTTAAAATTCTCTCCTTCCTTAGCTTCTCTGACAATACATCTCATTCTCTTCCTTACATGATGATGATTTCTTTTCTGTCTGTTGTGGGGGCTCCTTTTCTTCCACCTGTTGCTTAAATATTAACATTTCTTACTTTGTGTCCTCATGGATGAGCCCTGACTTCATCAACCTCGTCCTATATGTTGGTGACTTAAAAGCCAGATGTTTTTCCCAAGCTGCAGACCTGTATTTCCAACTGCCTCCCAGAAATTTCTCCCTGGATAAACCATGATATAAACTTTGCATATTCAGACTTGGATGAATACACTCGAGTTCTCACCCCACTCTCCACTCTCTTCTTTCTGTGTTCCTTTTATCAACAGTCATTCAACAAGTTCTTTGAGCCTTAAGGAGGTATCCCAGACTTTTCTCACTTTCTCATGTTACATCCAGTCATTGCTATTTCCCAATATCACCCACATCTATTGTCATTACCACTGTTTAGTTCAGTCCCTCTTCCTTTATACTTTGCTATAGTTGTAACTTCTGAGAATTGGTTTCTTCTTCCTGTTTCTCTTCCTCCAGTCTATCCTCTGTACTGTTTCCAAATACAGTTTTCTGAACTTTTTTGCCATGTGATTTCTCTACTTGAAACTGTTCATTGCTTTTCCAGTACCTTCAGGATAACTTTTTCAAATTCATTAGGAATTTAAGTAGAATCTCAATAGAGTATTTCCTGATAGTCCCTCTATCCTGCTTCTGAGGTGAGTGCCCATCTTCTGTGTCTCTCCACTGTACTCTGGTTGCAACCTGTAGTACTTTCATTATAACCTGAAGCCACACTGTATTGTAATTATGCTTTCCTTGTCTGTCTTCTTAATAGACTATTAGAAATTTGAGAACAGGAACTGAGTTATTTTCATTTTTTTCTCTAGCAGCGATCATGTTTTTTTTTAATTTTATTTTTTAACTTTATTAGGGAGCAGTGTGTTTTTCCCAGGATCCATCAGCTCTAAGTCAAGTTGTTGTCCTTCAATCTTAGTTGTGAAGGGCGTAGCTCAGCTCCAAGTCTAGTTGCCGTTTTCAATCTAGTTTCGGGGGGCGCAGCCCACCATTCCATGCAGGAGTTGAACCGGCAACCTTGTTGTTAAGAGCACGTGCTCTAACCAGCTGAGCCATCCAGCCGCCCACCAGCAGCTCAGCGGCAGCTCAGCTCAAGTCGTTGTCTTCAATCTAGTTGCAGAGGGCGCAGCTCACTGGCCCATGTGGGAATTGAACCAGCGACCCTGTTGCTCAGAGCTCGCGCTCTGGCCAACTGAGCTACCCAGCCGCCCTATCATGGTTCTTGATATATAATAGGTGTTTAGTAAATGTTGAATTGATAAATAAGTGAATGAGTTAGATGAAAAATTTTTTAATTGAAAATTTTGCCTCACTATGATAATCTTAATAGCTAGTTTTTAAATCTTGCTATTCTACCTCTTGATGATTTAGGTGTGGGAGTTGATGGCGGCAATGACAAAGACTGGGAAGCCAATGCTTGCAAAATCCAGCTTATTAAGAAGAAAGGGAAAGTCAAGGCACTGGATGAAGAAGTTCACAGTAATGTACTTACTTTGTTTTTTGTCCCCACCCCACGCCCCCGTCTCCCTTCTCCCTTCCCTACCAAATTACCTCTCTTCCCATGTTCTCGGGTCCATTTAGTGATTCCTAAAGTTGAAGGGAGGGAAGAAAAATCATTTTGTTACTGTCCATACTGGTTTTAAAATGTACCTGAGCTTCAAAAATGATCATATTAATTAGGGAAGGAAATTAGTTAGGTACACTGTGTACAGAGCAAGATCAGTATCCCAAAATGAAGTAGCCACAGTCCATGCGGAAAGGCCTTTCAGAGGACAAAAGGTATTTTTAGTGCTGCCCTTATTCATGTGTTTCACTTGGTGGTCATCTTCAGTTCGGACTAAAAACCTCGTTTGGATGTATAGTAAGTCTGGTTAGTGCACCTTTTAGTAGGTCTGATGTAATCAGGTAAGTATCACATTTGCCCTCACAATTTTCTTACTTCCCTGGCATAAAGTCATTGCCCAGGGGTACACACTCCATTAAAGAGGGTATACTTCTCAGTATTTAGTTCATAATATTATGCTTACACATTTAACTTTTTCACAGGAAAACTTAAAAACAAAAACTTTGAAGTAGAGTGATTGAAAAAACATTTTAACTAAAAAATCTTCCACAAAACCAAGGAAACAGCAGGTTTTTTTATGTACCTGCTCAAATGGATTCCATCAAAATCTTGTAAAAGCAGTGTAGGTAGAATAGGAAAATGATGGATTTAGTCTTTTTTTTTCACGTAAACTAAACACTTAAATTTGTAGTACCTGTTTAAAAATTACATCAATACTGATTTTGTGTGCATTATGGGTAAAATTAGCTAGGGATAGAGCAGGCACGGAAACAAGCACACTTCAAAAACTATAGTATAAATATCCTGTATACCAGGCTTAGTATATAGTAAGTTCTCTAGGAGAGAATAAACAGATTACTGTAAGATTCAGTGGACAGTTCGCACAAGTTGGTGAGCCTAGGGATACATATGGAATGGCTGCGGATTATATGTGGACAATGAAGGTTAGAAGGGAGAACCTTCTGAGTAAAATAGCTTGGGTAAAGACAGCAGTGGGGAAGGAAGTTTGTTGATGGAGTGGTAAATAGTCCATTTTACCTACATTGTTGGTAGGTGAATGTGGAAGGCCAGAAAGGCAAATTGTGACCAGAGTCACCATCTTTGAATGTCAGCATTGAAACATTTCCTCCTTTCCTACAGGAAAGTCAGGAAGTCCTGGAGAAATGGGAACTCGCAGACATTGCTGGTGAATTCTTAACTGATAAATCACTTGGAAGAGCAATCTGGCAGTGTCTGAATGGGAGGTGCCTGGACCCTGTGACCAAGCACTTGCACTCTTGGGCATATACTTGAAAGAAACAGGATAGACAGGGAGACATGTCAAGAAGATTCACTGCAGCAAAATTGAGACACAACCTATATGTTTACCAGTAAGGGAATGGGAGAATACATTGTAATGACAGTGAGTGACCATATGTAGCTTTTGAAAGGCATGCACTAAATCTGGTTGTGCATGTGGGGGCGTGGATAATTACTGGGAACTTAATGTGGGTGAAAAAAGCAACCTGCTGTAGGATACCGTATTTGCCGGCGTATAAGACGACTGGACGTATAAGACGACCCCCTAACATTTCCACTCAAAATACAGAGTTTGTTATATACTCGCCGTAT